GAATGATAGCGAAGGATAAACGTTGTGTGACTGTAACCGATGAATCCGTGGAACAGAGTGTAAACGAGATGAATGCAAGGGGATGAATGGATATAAACGTATGAAAGTTCGACGAGCGAGTTAGTCTTGAGCGATCAATCTTAGCGTTAAGTTTCTGTATTGCGGGTTGGGTAATTTTAATATAATATACTATATAACCAACAATTAAAGGGCTTTTGAACCTTCCCCATTCCTCGAGAATCCTACATGTATTTAATATTCTAACGGTGTTTCTTCGCAAGCAAAAACACACAGTTTTATTATTATTACATAGTGAATATTACATAGTGAATATTTATAGCCTTGTTCACACGTGGCATACTAACCTAAAATATAGAGAATCAACAATTATAAATGTTTATGCTTCCCTATATTCTCTCAACCTGGTTCGCGGAATTTTATAAAAATTCACACCAGCAGATTTTGTACTTAAGGATGTCTATCCACTCATTCATTCCCAATGCTCAATTCAATTAATTTTAATTACTTTCCAAGTTTCACCGGCACTCTATCTGTTCACCGTTTATCTATCTGTTTACCGACCCACCTGTCCAGTCCCCACCTCTTCCGAGCATACACGACTCATCGACAGATACACGAAGCTTACATGTATATCAAAAGCATTGGTTATTTCCTCAAACTCTCTATCGCAAGTAGATAACCAACAAAACAGTTAATATTTACAGGTTAACTATTAGTATAAAACGTTAACAGCTTTGTAAAACCCCAGAGCTAGTGGCCTGAGCATAAAAAAGTGCCCAGTTAATTAAATTATACAGGCATTTTAATTTCGATGTCTATTTATCAAAATCTATTAACTGTATTCTTGGTTATCAGTTTACTATACTTGAGAAAACACTCGAGGCTTTCGATATATATAGTAACTGTGTGCACAAAATAATGTTAGAGTAGATTAATAATAGAAAATCCTTTTCTAAGTTGTAAACTCTTTTTAAATAGTGCGGTAGTTCAAGTCTCAATTATTAGTGGCTATCGTAGCTACCACAGTTAACTTGATCTTACCCGTATTTTAATTTCGTAAATATAGATAAATACGGTTCTATTTTTGCAGTACATTAAAAAGTCCTACCGCTTCGACATCCACCCGTGAAGAATCAAAACTGGAAAAATCAGTCATCTGAAATAAAATCAAACAATCTGTTTTTCATCGATTGCGCAACTTTTCGCGCACGACCAAAGCTTGACAACTTTCCCACGTTATCGCAATAATCGCAATCTAGAAAGGAAGCGCAAGACTCGAGAGAAAGGCGATAAGATATAAATAGCTGCGCAGTTATAATGCACTTGCAAGCGTGCTCGAAGATGCAACACCGAATAGTTTTATTTGCACGGTAAACGTTCGCCGAATCGCAAACATTTGCAACACCATTTATACCTTTTACACGTTTCGTGTAAACGTCCCTAATTCGAGTGACGATCGATGGTTGTAAAACTGATCCCATCCCTTTACTCTCCCTCTGATACGAGAAACGCAAAGCTGATCGTTTGGGATCATCAACCTTGCATCGCAAGATAATCTCCGTACTCCGAAAGACCTAACGATGGTCATAATTTTATTCGAGTGATAGATGACGTTTGAGAACACCATATAGCGATTTATTATCAACGTTTCGTTCATTGAATAGTTATTCAAATAAGCTTTGTTCTGTAATTCTTCATATTTTGTTGTGGAAATGATGTAATGGATATTTCCAGAATATTCACGAACGGACTTTATTTATACATTTCGACTTTGGTTTTAGATCTAAACATAAACATAAGGTAACATGATATAGATATCAAATATTTAAAATCCTTTATTTAACCTCTATACTTCATATTTTTATCCATTTTCCATTTGATGTTTATATTCAATTTGTTTCCGGATCTATCAGTGTAGTTGACATATTGATTAATTTAATCTCCAAATAATAATGTAAAATCAAGAACGAAACGTCAAAATAAATCTGAGAAATACCAACAATAAAAAGTTCCTTACATTTTGTCGATGATAATAAGAAACAAATAACGTCCTTTCGATAGTATTACTAAATTTTGTATCTTTTTCTCGATATTTGAAGCTTTTGTCTAGATATGAAATTCGTCTATCTTTGTCAAGATCCTCTTTCATGGGTCGGTCGGTGAGAAACCTGTAACCGTGCCCCGACTCGAACTCGTTATTCATCTCCTGTCCACCCTTGCCACCCCCTCGATAGCACGTTGGTTCGCGAGATTCGAAGGTCACTGGACCCGTGCGACACGATTCGAGCGCGACGAACAGAGAGGAACGATTGGCCAGTGGGGGTGGCAGAAGAGCGTGGAAAAGGATAGATGATTACGAGGAAGACGATTCGCGGAGGAGCCAGGATCCAGCGTTAGGAAGTACCGCGTGGGTGGCTTCGAGGGACGAGTGTGTCGGGATAGCACAGTGGTGCACAACTTTCTCCATCACTGGGCCAAATAAAAGTAATTAGAAGCAGGACCACACAAGGAACACCTCAAAGACGTCAATGTATATTCCAAGAAAAATATTTGGGCCTGTCACGGCTGTCTCCATGATTGATACTAACTGAGACTTTGACTTACGCCCTGAACCCTACAAGTACCTACTTCACGACATAACTTATATCGAAGCAAGTACTTAAAACAGTCGCTAATGATCTAGAAATCAATGAATCAATGACTCAATGATAAGAGTTCTTTTCCCATGAAAATTTATAAATACTTGTTTGATTACTTGCTAGACTTGTAGAGCTGTTGATATCATCATAAGAATACACACCTAATACTGAGATTCTGCAAAAGTTTTCTTAATAAACTCTACTGGACATTTTCTGCAATATGAGAATTTACATTTAGCTTTAACGAAGTAGCAATGTTGTATAATATTATTTAGGTTTTTATCTTTCTTCAGTTCTATAATTGAAAAATATTGTACGTAAATATAAACGCTTCTGAATATAATCACACCAAGGTGTGTATTATCTAGATCATTTACATTAGAATTATCTCCTGTTATCACAAAATGTTGTAACATTTGTGAGTGCAAACTATAAAATAGGGATATAAATTAGGGATTGAAAGGCTCGGTCGTTTGTCTCTTAAGGTTACAATATCTTCGCATCTGGATATTAGTGTCTCGAGAAGTTGTTTAGATTAAACAATAAATTCTGAAAGCTTCGAAAATAAGCAGAAGAATTTCGCCGTAAGTATCTATAAAGGAAAATTAAAAGTATCACAGGCTCGGAATACAATTTACAAAGTACAATTACAATTTACAACACAGTATTAAGATATATACTCAACATAAAGTCATGAATATTATTTTTTTATTTATACATAAGTTTACTCTTTAAACATACAAGAACATGTTGTAACTTCAATTTCCTTACGATCAAATTTTAACATGATACGAATCTGGAAATAAAAAACTTGTTAAGATCTACGAAATACAAACACTTTATAGAATTAAAATGTTGTTTTATATATATTCTTACGAGGTCGCTACATTTATCAGCAGTTCTTAACACTTCAAAATATTATCAGAAACAATAAGATACTTTATACATGTCAATATTATCCTTAGGATTATATGTAACACGCAATGCGTCGCAATGTCGAACAACCTATGCAGCTACTATTTGGAGTCACTCTGCAAATTAAGGCATCAAGGATTTGTTTATTAAGTATCTAAAAACTGTAAATAATCATAACCATTAAAATCAGTCTTTGGATAATTTATGATTTTCATGTGGGCAATTTAAAATGTCACCATCGTTCCTTAAAATTGAAAGTAATAAACAAGTTTATGTTCTCATTATTTCGAATTGTTGAATTTATCTTCGCTATTAAACTAAAATGATTATAATGTAGTATTCCCAAGTCTGCATTGTAAGCAGCCAGAAGCTTACTTTTATCCCATTGCTTGTTCAATGGTTACGACTTATCGAAAGAAATTAGCACTATCTCCAAAAAGCTGAAAATTTAACAACTGTAACAACTTCTAGGAAATCTATTCACCCTCGTTAATCGTTAAAACTTATGCAAGCTTCAACGATTACGACATATTACATCAAAATGATTCCCATTTCGAATAAAATGACCCCATCGCATAACGACAGATCGAAAATCTCCAAACGAAAACAAGTTTCTCTCGCGATATTTTATAACGTTACAATACAGAACCAATACGTATCGCTCGCACACGCGTTATAAACGTTAGTATCGGTCGCGTGACATACCGCAGCACGCGACGCAAAGGGGTCGCTGATCGTGTGTCAAAAAGCACAAGCGGTTAAAGTGTTAAACGAAACCGAGGTCTCGTCGACAAGAAGGTTGAGTATCACCGCGTCAAGACAACGCGGTACGAGTGATTTTTCGGTGTTGCTTGAACTTTATTTTACGGGACAAATAAATTGGACGACTGGACAGAATCGTCGAGCCGGACTTTGCGCACCACTGAGATGGAAGAACGCGTGGACGAAACACTGGCGACCCGGAGGAGCGTTCGCAGAGCCGAGCATCGCTAGAGAGGAACGCGTGGACACGAGGCGGAGAGGCAAACCCATGCTGGAAAGAGAGATTTCGGATAGAAAGTTAGCGGGAGAAAGACGAAAGGAGCCAACGGTTGGAGAGGGGGCGAGAGCGTCGCCGCGAGAGGTCGTCGGGGTTGTTGGGATGACGTCACGGCGTAATGGCGCCGCCTTCGGTGGCGGCGAGAGCCGCGCGATTGGTCGAGAGAAATGATGGCAGGCTCGCGTGCCAATCGATTGCCGTCGGTAGGCTCGGGTCTGGTCTGTCGGGCCGTTGGATATGGTTGCTGGTTGCGTGGATGGTAGGGTTGGGGGCAGGGTGGGGCGACGAGCGCGGAGCGAGCGAAACAGAGAGAGGGGGACAGCCGCCTCGGCAGGAAGTGAGCCCCCAGAGTGGGACCCCAAGGCGAAATCCACAAATGCTCAGACGGTTCCGTTCTTCCGTGGAGAGTGGAGGTCGCTGCTTCTTGTTCCACTTGTTCTTCTTCTTCGTATTCGTCGTCGATTCGTGCACGCTCGCCGGCGTATCGACGACCGCCACGAGAACTGGACGAATGAAAGGACGTGCGCGTAACACGCGCAACGATACGCAACAGCAACACGCGTGCACCATCGCGCGGAACGAGGAGTAATCGTCGACGTCGCGAGACCAGTGACGCCGGGATCAGTAATCGTTACGGTTCCCCGGTGATAAATACGAGACCAGTGATAAATAAGAAACGTGGGTGCCACGGGAGCTGTTTCTCAGACACCAGGGGAAAATCGCGAGGATCGTATCGTCGCATCGTCGTAATCCGATTCGTCGAGCGTATCGCCAGCCTGCAGCCAGTCACGAGCCAGCCGTCGAGTTTCGAAACGAGCGACTGGGGCAAGAGAGGGAGACTGAGGACACGCAGCGCCCTGCCAGGGGAAGAAAGTGACAGTGCGTCAGTTCTCGGTGGGACTCTGCCGTGAAAACTTTGTATCGTTATCGATATAGTTGTTGCGAGACGGAGGGAAAAAACTGTGTTGATATGAGGAGCAGTCGAGTGTGTACGGTGACTAGACGAGCGGGGCATCGGTGACTGTTCGTGATTACCAAATATCTCGGTGTTCCCGAAGGGGCTCCTTGTTATCCTCTTACGAAGGACAGAATTTCTAGGATTCGACGTCGGTAATGCGTCGTGGATTCTACGAATCGAACAGTGCGCGGTAATCGTGTGTTCGACTGACTCGATATTATCAGGGTGTACGTTCTACGGTGACGATCGCTCGTGCAAAGGATTTATACCGGTGACTATTTTTGTTTGAAAGGAGGCAGGACGTACTCGAGACACGCACAGAGTGACTGGAGAAAAAGTGTGAGACAGTGCGTCGGTTGTGCGTCGCTGCGCGTAATTCCAACAAGTGGTGCGGACTCGGAGGAAAGAGGGAAATAACCGTAGGATCGAGGGGACGGTTCCCTCAGCTGGCTTCCATGTCACACGCTCGTAAGGAAACGAGCATACTCGTAGTCGCGTAGTGTCTCGCGGTGGAGCATCCGGTTAGGTCCAGCGAGACTCGACCGGAGAAACGGTTCGACCGTGCTACAATCTCGGCGTTTCGTCGAATTTCTTGACGTCGAGAGGTACCAGGAAAGGGCGGCAAGCTGTACGGCCACAGGGAGGAAGACATGCTCACGATGGAGACGGACATGAAGGGCGGCAGCCTGCACGGTCAGATGCCACCGCACCCACATCAGGGTGTATCGCCGATGGGCCACCATACAGGGGTCTCGCCTTACGGTAGCCTCGGCTCGATAGTGCACAGTCCAGCTCTGTCCGGGAGTCCACCTAGCGTCGGTGGTCTCGGCTTAGGTCTCCAGCACCATCATCAAACGCCTCAGCATCACTACGCGTCGATGCAGGCCGCCCAACAACAACAACAACAGCAGCAGCAGCAACAACAGCAAAGCATGCACTCGCTGGCGCAGCAAGCGGCCAGCCAACAGCAGCAGCAACAGCAACAGCACCATCCTCACCAGCAGCAGCAGCAACAACCCCAACCTCAGCAACACCATCAGCCTCCAAACAACAACAACAACACCAGCAAAAATAACAACATCGACCGCGTGAAGAGGCCGATGAACGCGTTCATGGTGTGGTCCCGCGGTCAACGGCGCAAGATGGCGCAGGAGAACCCCAAAATGCACAACTCCGAAATCTCGAAGCGGCTAGGCGCCGAATGGAAGTTGCTCAGCGAAACGGAGAAGCGCCCGTTCATCGACGAGGCGAAACGATTGCGCGCCGTGCATATGAAGGAACACCCCGATTACAAGTACAGGCCGCGACGCAAGACCAAAACGTTGCTGAAGAAAGACAAGTTCCCACTGGGCGGCGGTGTAGCGGGAGTCGGAGGGATGCTGGGTGTCGATCAGAGACAAGTCGGCGGCACCGGTGGTCCGCAACAGGCGCAATTGTCCCGAGACGTTTACCAAATGCCAAACGGATACATGCCGAATGGGTATATGATGCACGACCCAACGGCGGCTTATCAGCAGCACGTTGCTTACGGGGGTCACATGGGTGGAGCGGCAGCGGCGGCAGCAGCCTCGGCCGCGGGTTACCCGAGGTACGACATGGGTCACCACATGGGCGGCGGAAGTCCCAGCCCCATCAACAGCTACATGAATGGTTATGGCAGCTACGGGAGCACCACCGTGCCGGGCGGCTCGCCGTCGCCCTATCACCAAGCCCAGCCTGGCTCTCAGATGTCGAGTCACAGTCCCAGCGGTAGCAGCATAAAATCGGAGCCAACGAGTCCGGCGAGCGGCGGTATCCACACGCCGACGCCCACGGGAGCGTCGTCGACGGCCGGGGCCGTTGGTCAGGTCGTGAAACGGGAGTACATGGGCCAGCAGCAGACGCAGCAGTCGCAGGGTGATCTCAGACAGATGATCTCGATGTATCTGCCGCAGGGCGTCGAGCAGGGGGTCGTGCAACACGGGGCCGGTGTCTACTCGCCTGGACCCTCACCGGACCCGCTCGCGCAGCATCACTCCTCCATTCCACCTCTCACTCATATGTAAGCCGATTTTTAATTGCATCTTACTTATTTGCCTGGCTGCCGGGCCGTTGAAACCCTTAGGGCTCGCTCGCAAGGGCTCGTCTCCGATAGGTCTGTCGATGAGATACTCGGATGAGATTTTGCAAAGCGGTCGATATCGAAGATAACGATTCATAGTTTCTGTTACTTTTGATTAATGGTTTAGGAAAGATTTTGGGGCACAAGTGGCGGTTGGTTCGTTGTGAAGAGCAATATTAAAAATCACGATTCAGTCTGGAGTCGTCGGTAGAGATATACTACCAGATCCTACCTACTTTCTGATATTACGAGGAATTTCGTCTAGTATCTGCTTATGTAACTTTGAACAGCTTCCATGGGTTAGAGGTTTCAAAAATATTGTCATGATTGAAAAGGAGTAACTGTAGACAAAATAGCTCATATTATTTCCAAATGAAACTACATTGAAATAAAATGTCGTGATTTTTAATACTGTTCCTTATGGGTAAATATCATACATCTCTTGTAAGCATTCGATTACCGAATCTTACAAGTTAATAACATAACTAATATACGTTTTATTTCAAGCTAAAGATTCCAAAGGTAACTCTTTGCAGTATTGACAGGGTAGTGTAGTCGTCGGAGTGGACCTCCAGTTACTACTACGTGTCTTTTCCACATAGAGTCAAATCCCATCGCTTAACTTTTGCAGGTCACTTTTTTTTATGTAAACGGATCTGCAGTACTTGAAGTTCATTTTATAAAAAAATGTAACCTGTAAAAGTCGTTCGACAGGATTCGAATCTGTGGGAGAAGAAGAGACTGTCACCGTTGCAACGAGTCTTCCGAAGCTTTAACCTTAAAATTCTTCTAAACTATTAATCGAAAGACAATTCACACCGCTATCTTCATTCGATGCTCCACTACTCTGCAAAAGCTCATTTAAACGATCGCCAAAGCTATCGGAGAATTTCTCTTGTCAAGACTATCGAATTTTTCTTTGTATACGAGACTTTGCTCGGAAGACCACCTTTTTTGTACCTCAGAGGTGAACTATGTTAAGTCTGCATTTTGGCAATTTGCTCTTTCGAATAACAAGTATGTAATATTATTTAACCAAGTTAATATATTTATCCTAAATTTCATAAATTTGAACTTAACACGAGTTGTCTCTAAAGTGCCGGTGGTGAATCGTGCATACCTGATTTATGGTTCTTCGACTGCACGACAATATTTGTCCTCTGCCATACTTTTTATCTATTTTAGTGCAACGGAAAGTCGATAGTCTTGAGGGAGTTCTAAGATTTTTTTCGGTGTCACGCCCGATCGAGGAAGCTCGAAGACCAACCGAATCTTCGCGTCGGGCGAGGCTCCGATCGACATTTCCCCATCCTTTACTTTCGAGGGTAGGATAAACCTTGGTTACGCGAGCATTCGTTGAAGCATCATCCGTTCTCGTTCTTTGTGATTTCTAGTTTTTGTACAATAACAGTTGTAGTTAGCTGTCGCGAGTTAGATACCCGGTTTATCCTTCTCGTTTGTAAAGTACAGCTCGTTTGGACGCTCGAGTTTGACGCGACCCACGCGCACAGTTTTCCATGAATTTTGAAGCAAAATTCCGTGAATGATTGCTCGTGGACTATGAATACAACTTGTAGTATAGTTTGGTACGAGCATTTATTTAAATTTTGTTGTTAAACGTTTCGACTTTTATGTCTGGTCCTCTCTGGTAAATAGATTTATTAAATACAGGTAACACAAAATCATGAAAATTAATGAAAATTAAGGAGGCAAGAAGAAAAACGAGAACTTGTTTTTTGGAATGTAAATAGTAGATAAATAAAAGGTTCGAGTAAATAAATGGAAACCGAGGGTTCTTACATGACATACAGTCAGTGTAAGAAGTATTCGTACAGCCACCCATTTTAAATAAAGGGTTCCGGTGCGAATACTTATTACACTGACTGTATATAAATAAAAGTTACAATGTTAAAACAAAATAGTATGATAGAATCAGTGCTCCACGCATCTAAAGTGAAGATACGGTATCTCGAGGATTAACCAAACTTACTATAATATCAAGTGTTTTTCTTGAGAGTGTTATGTTCGATACAACTGTTTACCGACGAGGTCGAAACCTTTAACAAAAAAAACTAAATAAGTGGTTATAAGTTTGATTTGAAATTTAAAGTAGCCAACCCAGGCGATTGTCCGGCGTTTACCCGTGGCTGTTTTCCTCCTGATGTTTTTCTCTTAAAAGGCAGGCGAGCAAACCTCTGGTAAACCCGAACTGCGTAATTCAATGTCGAGTCAAATGTATTTCGCAATTATAATTACCGAGTAATTGGTAATCTGAATGATTAGTAAGCAATCAGTCGCGATTAACTCCGAAAGATTGCAAATTACCTATTCGTGATTGTAGATTACAGATACAGTTTATGAATGTCGATTATAAAAGCAATCACTGGCTAATTCTGCTACGGACAATTTTGATGTCTAAAGGCGATTTGACGGTCGAAACGTTTTAACTCGAGCGTCGAGCACCTCGACGCAAACGACTCCGAGGCGTCGCCTCGATCCTCCGAGTCGTTCGCCTTGTGCCACCCTGTCTGCGAAAGAAACTCGTAACGCTTACTAATCGCGCACGCCGCGCACTTTGCCTACTACTAACGCCATCGCGACGACATTTCCACTTCTGGACCCTACGATTAATCCCGAGTACGTAACAATTAGCACCGACATCCGACACCCTAGTTCCCTGCCGTAGTTTGCATTAGTGGCGAGTAACGTTGAACGGATTGTTACGTAACGAGATATACAACGCGTGGCCACCCTTGTCCGAAGAGTCGATCGAGCAAAACGCATGAGCCAGTTAGTCGTAAAGGGGCGCTAGTCCGCCGATCACTAGTCCTTAATCTCCATCGATCGTCGGAAGCTTTAAACCTCGCAGGGAACTCTGTCTTCGATCAGTGGCGTAACCAGCAATTACGAAGCCCTTTTAAATGGAAGATAAACCTCTGCTCTCTAAATATCGTACAATATCGCATAAATCTCAAATAAAATATTTAATTTCTACAATATAAATAGCCATGAAGACTCGTAAAGCAATACATATTGTTTAAACCTATTTTTGACGTAAAATATTCCTGGTGGGACAATTTTACGAGACTTTCTCATACTCATATTTACGAAAGAAAACATGTGTAGCCAAAATAGCATTGAGAAATGAACTGACATTATTATGGTTTCCTTTTTTTTTCTTCTATTTAGTTACGCCACTGTCCTTGATCGCCGCGTTTACTCAGTTTACTCTCGCCGGAATAATTAACGTCTCCCGAGAAATAAAAAGGGTACTTTTGTTGCGCGTTTCTCTGCCTCGGATCGGTTGGAAGACTCGAGATCGATGCGATAAACGGGTGAAAAATCTTGGCTTGGCAAGATTAATTCGTCCAGGGATCGCGATCGGGTCGCGCGCGAACGATATTTGGGAAGATTTACGACGAATGTCTCCAGACGATGGTCGACCAACGCGGTAGGCAAACAGAGAAACTCCGTTCGACGTGTGGTGAGCAGCACGAAGCGACAGCTTTGTTTGCTCCTCGTGCTGTGTGTATCTCTTCTCTCTTTCCTCGGCGTTCGTCTGTTCTCGTCTCGAGACTGTTCTCGAGGCGCGAAGGAAAATTTCTCGGTCGATCGAATCTTTTTCCCGACGCTATCGCACTTCTCTATCGATTTCTTCCTCGGTTTCTAATTGGTTTTCGCGTGATTTTCTCTCAGGGTCCAGAACGTAGGGAATTTCGAGCGGTTTACGCTCAACGTTTGCTTCGAATGGCCGCGAATACGCAGGATAATCCCCCATTGAGTGGTACAATCAAGAATGCTACGCGCAAAAGTAAATCGAAAATGTCTTTGTTTTTAATAAAACTCGGTTCGAACGAGGCATTTGCCTCCATACTACACAATGACAATTCCTATTTGATGTATTCGTATTAATTAATAATAATGCGAAGAAAAATTTAACCATTGGACTTTCCAAAGCAATGATTTGAGTAGTCAAAAGTAGTTTGCAATCAATATTCTACGTTTCGTATCGTACATTTGTGACCTCTTCAGGAGTAGTTTCAGATGAAGAAATCGCGTGTTTCTCATAAAATTACTTTTAAAGAGGTCCTAAAAGCATAGAATAAAACATGTTCCTGTTATAAGGTCAAATAAGAAAATGGCTAGGAAAAATCTAATGATAAAATTGATGTTAAAATTGTGTATGAATTCGTGATTTAAAGGGAAATTAAAATTAAAAAGAAAGACATAATCTAAACCGTTGAAAATAAATTTGGAGGATTTAAATATTGGTCATATATATCACGATACATAAATTATAATGCATACAGTGATTTCATGGGAAAAATTGATTACACGTTACATTATGTAAGTACAAATGCAATAGACATTTATAATTTTATTCATCGGACGACATTTCAGTAAATTATTATATAACAATTTACAAATATTATTTCATGTTTCCAATTTATTTTTGAATATTGAATCACCTAATTTCAGATTGTACCATTCATTGCGGAGCACCCTGTATATTTGCTCTTTCGTTTGTCGCTCGATGACAAATGTTGAGTTTAAACGTCGAGCCCGTAGGTTGAGTCAAGAGAACATCGTCGGCCATTTTTCGTTACCTCCGTGGTCGATCATCGAAATATCTTCTTATTGATTACATCGTAATATATTCAGAGATGAGCAAAATTTGTATATACCGTTATAGTTTGAATTATAGAATTAATAGGTACGTTAATTTAATTCGTTATCTATCGATCGATTCAAATTTTGCACATCTTTGAGTATTTCCATGTTTCTTCGAGCTGCTTCTCGTTGTCGTTACCGATTTATCAAAAAGAGAAACGTATGTTAGAGCGGAGAACTTTGTTCATAAAAGCTTCTCAAAGGATCCATCGGTACGGGGGGAAACGAAATCTCAGGCCTTTCTTCTGACTCATCCTATTCGAACCCTCAAAATTTAATTTTGAATCGATTTAAAAGAGATACAAAAAGTATACTGTAAAGACCAAAACAAAACTTGAATCCATCCCCAAAAACCTAACGCAAAAACCATAACCTCGTAGGATAGCTTAGAGTGACAAGCTTGGACGGACGGCTGTACGCGTGGGAGAGGACTCCCTTGTAAGAAAACGGAGAAAGGGAGAACGAACGCAAAAACGATTGCGAAATCGAGCGAGCTCGGAGGCGTGGGGGCCGAAGGCGAGATCGCAAACGATTTCTCGCAACCATCGGGAGAAAATTTCACCGACCGAAGAAGAGACAAAATTGATCGAAAGAAACGTCAAGGATCCAACGTCAAGGACTCGATGGCCATTTTGCATACGTGGCTAGAATGCAGCGGGGATCCGAAGAACGATTTGAACAATCAGGTACAACGACGCACGATGAAAGATTCGAAGCAACACCCGCGAAATTGTGTATAATGTACCGTCTACCCACAGAAAAAACTATATATTCCCGGAGAAAAATGTGTCATCCGCGACCGGGCGTCCAAGAACTTCCGGTCGTTCCTGAAGCTTGCGACGAATCGACGCTCCTGCGGCCCCCACGTTCTTCGACCCTCGTTTCGTTGGAGAGCGTTCCTTTTCCGTCGACGAGGCGCCGCGGAGAAAAACGGGTGCGACATACTTATACATACATGTATATGTATTTATAATTATATGTACGTATATAATTATAAATATTTGTAATCGAAGGGATGAAAATCGCATCGGTGCAAGTCATCTTTTCTTATCTCTTCTCATTTTGACAATCTTTTCGCAATCTCGCTTGCGTAGATTCCATTTGTGAAAGTTAATTTATTAAAAATAATTTTAAAACACTTGACTTGCACCACGATATCTTTTACACCCCCGATTATATACATGAAATTATTTATTATACATATTATATAATATGTAAACATTTTATGTACTTCATGTTTATGTTGTATATAAATGTTTCTGTATAATAAATTATTTTGATGTATATGTATGAATATTTACAACGGGTCGCGTTATCGCGAATCGTAGAGAGAGAGAGAGAGAGAGATTGAAAGACGACTCGTTTTTCTCCTCGTCCCCGAGGACCTCTTATTGCGTCGCGAAAGAAATTCAGCGCCGGATTAAGGTTTTGTGGAACCATGGGCTAGGGGTAATGTCAGGGTTTCCCTTAATTGTTTAAACGGAGACGAAACTGTTAAAAAAAAGCTTTCATTTATTTTTACGTAAATTTAGTTGTTCTTAAGCTCAGAAATGGACAAAATTTTATTCGAATGATAGATGACGAATACGATTAACGTGTAACGACTTATTCGCTTCGATTATTCCTTTAAATTCCTACTTCAATTTTTATTTGTTCATAGTGGAATCTCTTGACATTCAAGCTCCTGTCTTTGTTCGACGAATAACGGATGAAAGCAGTTCGTCTTTTCTTCGTTATTCCAAATTTTGAACTACATAAGAAGTGCCATTATCGATTCGTGTACATTCGTTTGATGTTTTATTTTAAAGGAAATCCACTTTCCAAGCACATAGAAAATAGATCTGTAAATCGTTAGAGAACGAAACAGTTAACCCTTTGTTAGATAATCTACAAAATTGGGAATTCGATAAAACAATTTCTATACAATTTTCTGAGGAAGTTTTACAGTACTTTCGCGTAGTATTTCAGTATGGAGACGTTTAATATCTACAAATGCAATTGGTTATATTTTAACTTGATTATTAATTGTTTCAAGAACATATAGATAACCAAGAATTGGTTTAATTTTTCAAAGATAAAATAGAATTTATCCTATATCAGATAGAAGCTTAAAGTGTTTGACGCTTTACTCGAGTTTGTCGAATTGCCTCTAATTAATCTCCGAGATTTTTGAGACGGAATGTCGTTCAAAAAATAATTGGAAAACGAAAACACCTCACGGTACTCAAATTCAAATACAATCGATATAAGAATAATCGTATAACATCATAAATTCATTTCACGTTTAAGCTTGTAATCTTTCTTTGCAAGTCGTTTTCCTTTTCCTCGTTATTGGCCGCATTTATCTGAATCTAAATTTATCTTTCTTAAAGCCCCCAAACCTTAATTCGGTCCTGCTCGGGACGCGATCAACAAAGGAATCGATCGATCGAGCGAAAATCGACGGTCCGTCTCGAGGCGAGCGTTACCGCCATGCTTGTTCTTTCCACGCGCGATGCGAGAAAAGGAGGCGAGAAATACCGCGAAACGATAAAACCTTACTGTGATAAACGACGCTGCACGACGTAGCACGCGTGCAAGAGAGAAATATCCAGGGTATAGCCGTGAGGGATGTAAAAGGGGGTGATAGAGAGTACGGTGAGTGAGAAAAAGAGAAGGGTTGGCAGTAAGTGCGTGAGAATAAAAAAAAAAAATAAAAAATAGATTGAAATGACAGAGTGTCGCGTAGAAGTGATTCGAGTAGTAACGCAGGACTAGATGTTTCGCGACTTCGCGACTGTATATATATATATACAAATTTATATACATATTACGCGCACATATGGAACGTTATATATATATATATACAGAGAAACGTATAAAAAGAGACACGTGTATTATATTTTCCGCGTTAGCAATATTTCTTTTTTTTTTCTTTCTCTACCGGTTACAACGACGTCTCGTTCGACGTCCGTCGGGTGCGTCCATCGGTGTCGAGTCGCGAATATCATTCTCAATTAGCGAGCGAATACGAATAGTAAATAAATACAATTACGTGTGCGAGGAAGAAGTGACGCGAAAGTGAGTGTATGTGTGTGTACGAGGTCGGAACATTCGAGCGGCAAACGCTCGCGCAGAAACGAACAAACCGCGGTTGCATATCAATTATGGAAAAAAAGAGAAGAAAGAAAACGAAAGAAATACCGAAAAAAGAACAGTATTTATTGTGCATATCGCCCATCCCTTCAGCCGATCCCGCGAACGCGATACCAGCGTAGATGGAAAACCCTCGCGGTGTTCGCCGAGAAAAAATTGTGTGTTCGTATGCGTGAGTGGAAGAACTTTGTAGATTGGTCGTCGATCGCCCCCCTCTTCGTTCCTCCACCGACCCAATTTGTACATAACCCCCTCCCCCCTCCCTGTTGATTCACGCGAGAAAAGTTCGTCCAACCCCCTTGCGAATGAGAAATTAAACGTCTCCGTGACACCAGGCGAAAAAAACATTATCATTAACGATATTTACTATTACGTTTATTATTACTTTAGTGACTTTAAAATTACGTTTATTAATATTATTATTATTACGAAATATGACTCCTTTTTATTATTATTATCGTCATCTGCATTATTATTACTGTAATTATTATAATTGTCACGATTTTCGTTCTTCCTTGCGTCCTTTTACGTTTCACGAATCCCTTTCCCGTAATCTGGTTTTCATTTTAAAAAATTCTGTCGGACTCCTTGGTTACCTGGACTTCCTTTCCAGTCGCGAATTTCGACGTCGTTCAAGATGGACGAAAAAGTGTTTGTAAACGCGCGTCAGTCACGAGGACCGATTAATCGCGACCGATCTGCGGTGTTTCGGACGAACGGAGAACGATCCGAATTTCTCGTTCGAGGATTGTCCTCGCTTGACGAAATTTTTTTCTGCGCGACAAATCCGCTCACTGTAACCGCGACACGAGACTGCTTGAAACTTCTCGATCGACGCGAAATTCTTCTCTAGTTTACATCGAAAACGTCGTGAATCGGGAATCGATTCTGTTTACAAGAAATCTATGAAAATGTTAGATTATTGGTTCGTATTTAACGTCTTCAAGTACGACTTCGCTCGAAGTAAACAAATATTCAAACTAGTATTAATCCGTGACATCTATTAAGCTTACAAAGAGGATGCGATGTTAAATCGTTGGAAAATTTAATTATGTATATTTATTCTATATTTGAATAGTTTTTTCCGTAAACGTGCACGTGTACATATGTCAATATCGTTGAAGAGGTTAAGGTGAATGTTTTAATTATCGATGCATTTTTTAACAACTATTACATTGAACGGTAGTGGAAATTTCTGGGCATTACTAATTACTTGTATATATTATAAATTGAGAAGATAATATTTTTAGTTTTCACTTCTTTTTATCAAAATAATAGTTTATATAATTAAATTCTCAAGAAACGAAAGTGTTGATGCTCGAGTATTCGATTGCAGGTGTCTCGATCACGATCGTACGGATGCACAAATATTGGACAGTGTAGACAAAATTATAATTGCTTCTTTGATACATTTTTACAACGTTAAGAAGTTGTTTTCATCGCTTTATGCCTTCAAGTTTGAATATTTTAACGGGTTGATTCGTCATATTCAAATTCAAGTCTTATATGATCATGCAAAACAAAGCGAGTCTTGGAAAATCTATGTTTAATATCCTTACCCGAAATTTTCACACCTATGTATTTGCAACTTTATTGCATTCTCGTGTCTCGATTGAACGATTCCAGTAAATACCGTTAAATTTAAAATATACAATCTAATAAAAGTAAAAAATATAGTGCTCTCACAAAATGATCGATAATCGTATTTATTAAAAATAAATCCAAAGTGAAACTTTTGTTTTGCTTATTGGAAGAAGATAATAAATTCTTATATATACGTGTAAGTAATCGAAAGTGTCGATGATCGAGATAGTGTCGAAATTGAATACACGAACTTCACGCGTTTGCCAGTGACAATCCGTTTATACTCGGATGTTCGACAGAAATAAACACGGGCAAAATTTTATTCGAATAATGGATGACGAAGAAAAGCAACATATAATCGTTTTTATTCGTTCACTGCAAAATATCTTATAATTGAAATTTTAACTTTCGTTCTACGAGCAATGAATAAACTGTTTATCCATAAAAAAAATTAATACAGATTTTCTTGGCTTTACTGAGTATCACAGATAACATTGTTTAGGTTTATTATTGAACCTTTCGGAGTAACTATAACTTATACGCTACAGGTACCAAGTATGTTAATTTGAACCATGTAAGTTGGATTTTTTTTTGGAATTAATCAATTAACAATACTTTCCCTATTATTTTTAACGACAATTAGTAGAATTGGTACAAAGCTAATTGTATTAATTAATTACTTTGCAAAACACACAACAAAGTATTTCAGTATAAATGTTTTCTGCGAAGTTAAAGAAAATTTAAAATGACTACGTAAACGAAAATATTGTTTATCTATTTTGAAAAGTATAAGTTTTAGTTACGGCCGGAACTTCAGTAATAATTCTTTTTAAACGGTATGTTAATTTTCTGTCGATCATTCGAGATGTTCGGATACAAATTTTGCCCGTGATTGGTCAGGAAACGTTTCGGATCGAGAATCGCAGACCGCAGCGAGCGACGCGTATGCAAATCGCGAATTTCTTTAGAGGAGACGCGCGTCGAACGGAAAAGAGTCGTTCTCCGTTCCCGTCCCGCGCCACGCACGACGCATCGTCGTGCCTTCTCGTGCATACGAGCACGCGAGGAAAATGAGAAGAAACGAATGAGACAAGACGGAGAGTAAACGACGAAGAAGCATTTGTACAAATTACCCGATAATCCGTAATCCGTGGAGTCTTTAAGTCGCAAACTCTGTGTACATGTACATACGTTCGCCACGGCAACGAGTGTTGTGGCAGTTTCGAATATATATATAATATAAATATATATATTATATGTATATTAATTAAGAGTAGCCCTGTGTTTCTTTATTGAATTCGATACCTATTTGCTCGTATCCGTCCAACGAACCGTCCGTTTTCGATGTCCCTAACGAATGTCGAGGAAGAGATGATATATCAAGTAATCGCCAACAGGTAAAAAATTGTCTTTCGAGACGACGTGTGCGTTTGGCTCTGTGTGACCACTCTTGCATGATTACTATAATTGATTTACGAATTCTTCCAAGCTGCTACTCCTTTCTACGCTTTTCGATCGCGACAGGCAAACGATTCTTTCACGTAGCCATTTTTAACTCCAAGATGACTTCTGCAGTGGTTGGCTTCTAGTTTAATATTTCCTCGAACTTACTTCTTGTCAGGTTTAAATTTAACCTGATTTCATCAGGCATCGTTAGTATGTTTATATTTATATGTTCTCGTACTTATCTACGCATATAGGTATATTTTTTTTCTTTCGTTATGTAAGGTTGTTATGTCCATCGATTATTCTGGTTGTCAAACTTGACGACGACCGTGGCTGATCGAATACATTTGTTACGCAATACCGTAAATGAATAAAGGACATGCTTCGATATAGAAGAGTTTGTCTTAGAAAGGAAAATATCTGTCAAAGATAAAGGTAATCAGCTATTTGATCTAGTTCATGCTGCAGTCTAGTATACACGTTTCTTAGTTTTCTCGTTTTTTTTTTTTGCAATGATATGACGATTTGAACAAAAGTTAAAAAATGAAAATAATAAAATAAGCTAGAAAATTCTCTGGGAATACGTGGAATTAGTCGAGTCACGAGAAGTTTTCCTAAAGTTTTTATTTTAAATAGCTTCTAAAAATGTTACTAGTTTCTGAAACTGTTACTAATCATAATTCAGACTAAGGAAAGGATTTAATTTACATCTTCCCAGGTCAGTCGCGCCAGTTTATTTATCGACAAATGCGGAACGATTCGACCCAAACATTTTCAGCCGTCCTTCCAATTGTACATTAATATAAAGCAAAGACTGCGTTAATAAAAAGAAGATGGAAATAAACGATAGAATTTAAACATACAAAATAAAAAATCACATTTAAAATTTGTAATGGTAAGAGGAACTAATTAATATTTTTGTAACACGTTGATTGAAAGTTTACAATTAATCATTTTGGTTTATGTATCCATTTTATATTGTTAATGTTTTTCTTTTAATTGTAATAGACATTGCTGTATATTAACGTATACTTGAAGAAAATGATGGAATTGTCGAAAACGTTTATGTCAAACTTGTTAATAACTAGACTGAGTTTACTAATTTGAGGAATTCTGACATTAGTATAATTCAGTAGAGGAGGCAATTTAATCGAATAACAGTATTAGTTTAAATACAAGAATATTTGAAATCCTTTTGGTTCTTTTCTGGTAAATACAGAAAGATTTAAAAATCATATTATATCTCATTTACATTGACATTCGTTCTTTACTATTTTCTACCGAAGAGAATTCAAATGATACGCAGTCGAAACGTTTAAATTATGAAAGTCAACTTGGCAGCAGTAATCCTTATATATTTATATGATCGTAATTTTTCGGCGTGTTTTATTCTTTATTTCTACAATTATTAGTCTTATAACAGATTCTTCATTAAGTACTTATTTTCTTTTCCTTTCTGCTTCTTTTCGATATAATTATTTATTTTTCACTTGTTACTATATTGCAATATATGCTGAAGAACATCAACAAAGAGACCGAAACACCGTTAAAATAAGACCATTATCTTTCAAAGAATTTTTCAAAAACTAGTAGTACTACTTCATTATAGAGAGAAGTGTTACATGCAAAATATATTTATATTTTAATTCCTGCTGAATTTAAATTAAATTCCTTCTTTTATTGAGTATATATTTTATGAATAATTTAATCTGAATTCAATCAAACTTCTTTCGCGATCTTTACTTCATTAACAGTCGAATCTTCCTTAAGTACAAATTCAAGAATAATATCACCACGTAACGTCACGGGATTAAACCATATAAATATATGTCAATTAATCTTACCTAGTCTAATGATTGGTTAGTTAATATTTCTACAAAGTTGGTAAGTAATTAAGATATTGTTTTTAAACTCACATCAGAGCAAGATCATTGGCAGTCGAAAGCATTAGTAGAGCCACTGTCGATGAACCAAAGCGGGTCGTTCAGACAAAAGAAATTTGCTTTCATAAATTCTCTATTCCTCTTATAGTTATTGAATTCGTGATAAGTAGACTTCGGATCTTTATGCAAAATAAAACCGCAGAAAGAATAAATAGGAATTTATTTTATTCTGCAAATATTATAACATGAACTTTATTTACGATCTTTTTTATATTCTTGCATATTGTTTGCATTTTGTAGTTTCTTGCACATTCAAATTTCCTATAAATGCATAAAGATCCACAGTCTAGTGATAAGTATTTTTCATCCTGCATTAAGTGTCGATATATACTCCAAAAGACTAAGAAGACTGCGCTAGGAACAATCTTCCGTTAAACAGCCAGCTCGAAAAAGTTAACCCTTCGCACTCGAGGCCTTTTTTTCTGGTATCTGCCAGCAACTCAAGCAATCGCACACGGGCGCAACTTATCAGTTTCAAACCACTCTGAAACTAGTTGCATGCGACCGTGGATCTAGGTAAAACAAAGATAGTGGAGTAGGTAAAACAAAGAGCGCAAACGGTTTGCAACACTAATTTCAAATCGGTTGCGCCCGTGTGCGTTGGGCCTTAAAAATTGAGCGTTCAACCGATCGCAGACAGAGGATCGACGCACGCCAAGCACTGCGATCGCTAGATTTATTCGAAGATCTATGGAAGGAACGCGTAGCCCGCGGTTTATGAAGCTTTAAAGTCAACTGCGAGAAATACTATCGGCGTGGAAACGTTGACGATTGCGGGAGACAACCGCGAAGAAGGCATCAGTCCGCAGTGGCGAACGTACGACGAGCCAGGGAATTTTTCGGTATCCTTTTCCGTCGGATTAATAGCTAGGGGTTTTTTATTCGCCAGCGCGGCTCGTAGCGGGCACACGAAATGTCCCAATAAATATAACGCTCGGCACGGACGAGTGGAGACATTAATTCGCGCCAATAAATATTTCCATCGTTCCGGCACATAAACCTGGCGTTTGTCATATACACGCAGTCATTTCGGTTAAAAGGCATTCCCTCTGCCACTGAATGCAAATGCGAGTGCTCGTTGTGCGTGCCGTAGGGTCTCTAAAGTGCTTTCAATTACGTGTTCCACCTAACGTCCTGGCCTGGAGGGCCGTTTTCCTATGTTTTGCATAACCGGGATTTTCAAGTGTTTCACGCCCCACGAGGACGCGCGCGCGACGCGCGGCTTACACGCGGCGGCGGGCCAACCTTCGTCGGCCAGGTATTCCTTTATCCTGATTTTTCTGCGCGTCGTTTCTGCCCGCTAACGAGCCCACTTTCTTTCGTTCTTTACTTCATTCTTTCTCGTCTCGATATTTTCCTTTCCTTTCCGGTTTGGTGTTCTGGTCTTTGGTGCTTCGCCCTACGGTTTCTGCATGTCGCTTTCAAGTTTCGGAGGGCGGAGAACGCGATTAACGAGCGGTAACAAGGTGAATTAATTGTTTTTTAGATTAGAACACTATGATGGAGTTTCAAAGATGTTTGATGATTTGCTCGAAAGTATTGTGGTAGCAATGTTATCTTTATTTGGATGATTCGACGCTGTGCTTCAAACATATTTAATACTATATGAAATTATAAATCGTGATGATAAAGGTCAATTGCAATAATAAATTGTGACCAGTGATTTTACTTTAAGGACATATTTGGGACGGGAATTTAATATGAACTTACGTTAAAGAAAATGTGCTAGGAATGACAAAATGAATAGTTGATAGTTAACCCCTTAACATACAAATAAAACGGAACTTGATGGGTCTAGATAATACTATTAGGTAGACTAGAAAGTAACGTCGTTTCTTTTACATTAAATTCAAACAAATTTTTAATAAATTTCAATTTTTATCAATTATGTAATCGCCTTCGCTCTCAACAGCCTTTTGCCATTTAGTATGCAAATTTTCAATACCATATCGATAAACATCAATGAGCTGATGAGTGATAAACAAGTATTTAAAATTGTACAAACGAGATTACTTTCCAGTACACCTAATATTTCAATTCGCTCATCTGAACAGTGACGTGAAAGTTCAGAAAGAGTAGATTTTATTTTGAAATTTGCATTTTTACATAACATTTAATCAGGTTAATACATAATGCTAACAAAGAACAACTGAATAACATTAAAAAATAATAATTTAATAGTTCTGTAAAGTATGAAATATTTCGAAACATTTTGGAATATGTAAAGGAACTAGACATTTTTTGCACTGCCAAGTTGTTTCACTTCTTACATTATTTTTTATACACACCCGACATCTCTTTGCCGGGAAATTCCTTTTTATGGTATAGTTTGCCACGTGTCGAAAAGTTAGAAAGAGATAAATTGCATATACTTATAATTGTTTACTTATACACTGCACGGCGCCGGCTGAAAACAAGTTTTGACGGTTCAAAGTCTACACTGGCACATGAAATGAACAGACGACACTAACTCGTCATTGTATGTCAAGGGGTTAAGAGATAACATAGAAGTAATTTCAAAAACATACCTTAAT